CCTCACAAAAGTCCATTACCTCGAGAATGCAAAACATTTACGTTGGAACACAAAGTTTTGCACTGTAACACAAAAACTAATAAAATCCTCAATGTCACTTTGGGGGCTCCGTACATTTCTCCTGCCAYGTTTACTTGGACCCCTGGATTACCTGTGTTTGATCTGATTTGAACTTCTGCAGCACAGTGGTGATGTACCTGTTGCTGAGGTGGGTGTGGCAATCTCCTCTCCTCAGGTGTGATTGGCAGAACACTCCATCCTCCTGATGTCATTTTTWAATAAACACCATACTTGTATTAACAGTCGTTATATGTTGCAGAAATGGAGTTCAWGCCAGTAAAACACAGTGCTGCTTAGTTTATCTTTTTATTCTTTTATCTTTTACTTTTGTTTACTCCCGTCAGCTGAATATCTGGATTCAGGTTCTGTTCGTAGCCCTCTGACTCTCTGTAACCTGACACCTGATGAGGATTAATGAGGATGAGGATTAATATGATTGTTTTATTTTGGTTTACATTTGTTAATTATTTGTATTTAGTTCTGATTTGTAAATTCAACCTTTGCTTCTTGGGCGCAGACTTGTGTTCTGTGGGTGACTTATCCTCGGGTCGTGAATCACAGTTTTGAGTGAATTTTCAGTCTGATTGTGTTTTATTTCTGTGCTCGATTTTGATGATGAAAGCCTTTATTGTCATCGTTTGCACAATGAAATTACATTTAAGAACACCCGTTCAAGAAGACACACACAGAACAAAACAGGTGATCAGGTCATGCGGCAACCAGTAGGGGTCACGCTACCTTTAAAAAGCTTGGAAAGCACACAATAGGAAGGATGAGTTAAAAAAAATAAATAAAAAATAAACTGGATTTAAAACTGGACATGTTTTTTTTACATACTCTGGAACACCTCCTTCTTTGTAGAAATTGTTATTTTGGATGTTCAGATTCTTCCTTTGGTGAATTATTACCAATCAYTACCAATTTAAAACTTGTAAAATTCAACACATTAACCCCTGAGGTTCACATTTTTTATTCTAGAGGCTGAAAAACTGAAGAATTGGAACGACTTCCTGKTTTTAATGATGCAGAACGAGCCAACCAACCGTTTCATCGAAAAACAGAAGAGAGAAGTGCTTCAGTTGTTTGTTCTTCTTTGTCCGCCTGTTTGAACCTGTGTGAGGAAGATTTATCTGTTTTACTGGTAAATTTTTTAAATGTTTTGGTTTGATTTAGATGAGTGAGTGTGTAGTTGGGGTTTCTGTGACCCGATGTGATTATTCATTTATTATTATCCTTGCTTTTACTGATTTTATCTTTCAGTTTCTGACARTCATGAGTGTGAAAGTCATCTTACTGAGCGTCCTCTTCATTTTAGGTAGGTCGTCTTGTTGGAATGAATCTTTAAAGGAATTTAAATTTTATTTCATGGTTTAATTTGCTGCCTGACTCTGGTGTTTACAGGCGCTCTGTCTTGTCCTGATAATACTAAACTGTTCATCTCGTCACCAAAAACCCTGGAGGGTCTGAGTGGATCTTGTTTACACATCCCGTGTAGCTTCAGAGCTAGAAAAGAAGAAGAGTTTGACAATAAAAGAAAAGTTGTTGGAGTGTGGATGAAGACGGATGTAAGGTTTGCAATATATCCAGGAAATGTCATTTTCAACAGTAGTAAATCTGATAATGCCTATCCAATGAAAATAACTGGAGACCTGCCTCAGAAAAACTGCACCTCCTTGTTTTCTGACCTGAATCAGGATCATAAAAAAACACTCTTCTTCAGAATTGAAAATGAGAAATTTAGGGCAACAGCTGCTTGTAATGATATTCAAATAACAGTTACAGGTGAGA